AAGAAAAGATGTGTCAATTTGCTGAGGCAAAATAAATTTCAGTCTACTGTTGGAGAACAAAGCAATTTCATATACCATATCTTTCCTCAGAGTCAAAATCCACAGACACAGACTTGATAAGAAATGTTAATCAATAATGAATCATATGTCAACATAAAATCAACCATATGTCAACATAATAATGTTTAATAATAAGGTATAAAAAAATGTTTAGTCCTCAGGAGTCTGGGAGTGAGCCCTTGTTAACTACAGGTGAAGACTGGCCTCCCATCATACTGAGGTCAACTGAATGTCATATAAAGATCTTAACCATATTTTCTAATTTTTCCAAAATTCATTTTAGAAAAAATAGAATAGAATTAATCATCATGCCATTATTAATACAAATTTTGTATTCTTAATTCCCCTTTGTTCAAATTAGCATTTTCACCTTAGAACTGAAGCGGCCAAAAACAATTTATTTGTAACATCATAGAAAATTATGTGAGAAAACAGAAAATATTTAAACCAACATTAATCATCCTGCAAAGTGACATCTAACAAAAACTTGAAGTCAATAACTTGTGAAGTAATGGCATACATTTTAAAAGCAAATACCTAAGAATAATATAACTATAAATCTGAAAAACTGATCCTTTGAGAGTACAGAATTATCTTCTTAATACCGACAACAAAGCGGTAAAACAAAAAGAATGCTATTTTGACCTTGGAAAAACAAAGACTATTTTCTCATGAAAATTTCACCAAATTGGAAAAAAGAAATGTGCCCAATGTCAGACTGTAAATCCCCCAAAATAATGACAAAATGTTACTTATACAAATTAAATCCACAAACTATGTTCTAATAAGTCCAACTGAGATAGCTATTTAGAACAGAAATAAGGGGACTTAATTCTGAAGATTAATAGTAAATGAAAACTGTAGTGTAATGTGAGGCTTCTTTTGTAAGATGGGTCAAACAAACAGTACACTATGTGTTAAAATTTCAATTAAGAGAACAGAAAAGAAAACACAGAAAATATTTACTAATAGTCTGTTTCAATTTAATGGTAAAAAGAATTCCAAAAAGAGGGAAAGCAGGCGCCGGCCTAGTGGCATAGTGGGTAAGTTCACCTGCTCCACTTCAGCAGCCCAGGGCTCATGGGTTCAGACCCCGGGCATGGACCTATACACTGCTCATCAAGCCATGCTGTGGTGACATCCCACATACAAAATGGAGGAAGACTGGCATAGATGTCAGCTCATGGCCACTCTTCCTCAAGCAAAAAGAGGAAGATTGGCAACAGTTGTTAGCTCAGGTCCAATTTTCCTTACAAAAAAAAAAAGAGGGAAAGCACAGTTTACTTCCAATGGAAAAATGAAACTACTTATAACTGTATAATAAACAGAACTAAAGAACTACAGAATGTTGAAAATTTTTAATTAAAATGTGGCAGAAGTATAGAATTAAATGCAATGCATAAACACTGACAACAGGGGGACATTATTTAACTGATAACAAGGAAATGGGATATTGGGAAAACAGATTAAAAGTACTACTGATAAGACCACTTTGATGACTTATGAAGCTCTGGAACTCATCATATCTGTACCCTACAAAACAACTAACCTGAATGTCTCTCTTCTCAGCTAAGATATAAGCAATGTGAGGGAGCACTTTATTCCAAAGCCGATAAGCATATCTGGCCATAACTGCCTTGTAACTGTCCATGCACATAGTCTCTGAAGCAGAGGATTAAATATTCCTGCCCACTTTATCTAGTCCCCAAGACTCCTCCTGCAAAGTGAATAAAAATGATTAACTTTTCATCTACCCCTTACACATATCATGAAAAAAACAAAACAAAACAAAATAAAGAAGAGGGCAATGATGAGAACAGAAAAGTCCTTGAAAAGATTGATGATTATTATCCAGCCTGGAATTAAGCTCTCAGCAAGATCTGTGTGCTTTGTTGAAGGGTAGGTGACTGCTATGTCTCACAATTTATGAAACTGAGCCTTGGAAGATATGATCATTAATGTAGACACATAAGAATTACGGGAATATTTTGAAGTAAAATTGAGAATGACTTGAAAAATAGGCTTTAACTTTTGAAAATCAGTATAAACATAATGTTGATCTTCCTCTGCTTTTCCTGATATCTGATTTTGAAAAGTAATTTCAAATTTAAGTAGGCTAAACAAGGATATAAAACGTTCTTAAGAGAGACAAAATGGCAATTATCAAGCAGTTTTAAAAGCTATCATGATGAAAGGTAAATTGTTGGAAAAGAAAGATGGAAAGGCCCTGGAAGAGGAGGGAGCTACTCAACTCAAAATGAATAGGAAGAAAGCCATAACTAAAATATACTTACGCATAATAAGGAAATTGAAATGTTTTAAAAGTCAAAATATTCTGCTTATTTCTACAATATAGTTTTCCTTCTCTTGTGTTTTTTTCTTTTGGGAGTGAGGAAGGTTGTCCCTGTGCTAACAGCTGTGCCAACCTTACTCTATTTTGTACGTGGGACGCCACCACAGCAGGGATTGATGAGGGGTGTGTAGGTCCTCACCCAGGATCCAAATCTGTGAATCCTGGGCCACCAAAGTAGAGTATGCTAACTTAGCCACACTGCCACTGGGCCAGCCACTCTTGTGTTGTTTTTTTTTTCCCCCAAAGATCAGCACCTGACCTAACAACTGTTGCCAATCTTTTTTTTTTTTTTTTTTCTGCTTTATCTCCCCAAATCCCCCCAGTACACAGTTGTATATCTCAGTTGCACGTCCTTCTGGTTGTGTCATGTGGGACACCGCCTCAACGTGGCCTGACGAGCAATGCCATGTCCGCACCCAGGATCTGAATCGGCAAAACCCTGGGCCGCCATAGCAGAGCACAGGGACTTAACCGGTCGGCCACGGGGCCGGCCCCCTCTTGTGTTCTTAAACAGAGTATGTGGCATATATTTAATCTTTTATACAAAATGCACACAGCTTTCCAGATTAAGAAGAGGTAGCTCATTCCTAAAGAAAAGCCCCAGATTGCTATCTTGCTATTCGTCTTTTTTTTGGGTTACAAGTTATCATTTCACACTTCTATCAGAAGGATAACATCTAATGTTTGTCATCCATTCATTTGTTGCTTCTCCTTTTCTCTTGGCCTTGGGACACCAGATAATAACTTTTTGTGACAGACCTTGGCTATTCAGAAGCAATTTATATTTTATGTTTCAGTTTTATTTATTTCAAATCACTGAATTTACTATGCATCTGACAACAAGCTAAATGGACATTATTGTACACAGGTAGAAGACAGTAAGATGAAAAGTAAATATAGACTATAAAAAAAGGAAAAAAGGAAACACCAAAAGCAGAAGACATTAAAAGTCTTAAAATTAGAAAAAATACATAGTATATTTACAACACCTTTTGAAAAAAAATACAACTAGGTACAATATGCTAATATTATATAGAGTCATCCATATATTTTCCACTCCTCTTTCCCCCTTACTCAACATACTTAATCCATATATTAATGTCCATTATTCTCTTAGTTACAGTTTTATAGGAAATAAACATGAAATAGAGTTTATTTACTTCTGAGTGTCCTTTTCCTCATTGTTAGGAAAAGAGGAAGATCTTTTACTCAGTTTTATCTTTTTTAAAAAGGCAAAATAAAAACACAATTTATTGTTGAAAGATTTTTCTACAGAACAAACAGCAAACACAGTTTATTCTGTGTTTTGAGGTATCCTCTTCCTCATTGTTAGGAAGAAAAAGAAGTCTTGTACCCAGTTGTTGATTCTGATGCATGCTCAAGTTTGTGAACCAATGGTTTAAATAAATTAGATAAATGAGAAATTTAAATGTACACGGAAGATGAAATGCAATTAATGAAACTAAATCTGGTTTTTGTCATGGTAATGTGTAAGATGAATACAGACAAAGTTATTGATAGTAAAAAGGATGTAATTTGGGTTTATTTAACTATATGTGTACGTACACACACACATAGACACACGCTCTATATCACAGATGAAAAGGAACAGTAATTTTAGATAAAACAGTTAAAGGACTTGAAGGAAAATAGAACAATTGCTAAATTAACAAAATTACCTTCTTATGGAAAAATAAGGGAAAAATTAACATACTTGGCTAAGAAGCTATCTATATAATTCTAAAATGAAAATAAAGCTGAAAACTGTAATCTGTCAGTTCTTCAGATTATCTATAGCCTACCTAAATGAGTTGATTTTAGAGACATTATGTTTAGATATACTTAAGTTATTAGCACTAGGAATAGGAAGAATGCTAGCTAGGCAGCAATTACCTATTACAATTAGATGGAATTGTTCCAAATATATAAACAAATCAAGTATTAACACACTTACATTTAATAAAAATGAGCAATAGAGCAACATAATTAAGGGGAAAAATACTATGAATTTGGAATTTTAACTACAGTCATGAACTGGATAATGACATTTCAGTCAATGACAGACTCATATATGATGGTGGTCCCATAAAATTAGTACCATATAGCCTATGTATGTAGTAGGATATACCATCTAGGTTTGTGTAGGTACACTCTATGATGTTTGCACAACCATGAAATCACCTAATGACACACTTCTTTCTTAAAACATACCCCTGTCATTAAGCGATGTATTACAGTATTGCTATTTGGGTTTATCAAAGGATATGGCCCAGGGCACTCCTAAAATTTCTTTGGTAATAAAATAAGGATGTAGGAAAATACTTAAACATTCAGACAGAGATTTGCTAACGTTTGCCAGAAATTTTCAATTTTCATTCTCAAGCCTATCACATGCCAGTTATCAAAAAGGCATACGGTTTACCTAAACAGATAACACAAACCATTCAAATGAACTTGAGAGAAAAATGGTATTTTTCAGGAGCTCAGTAATTAATTTAAATTAATATTTAATCTAAATAAAGTTTAATGAGAATAGAATATCTTTAACAAAACTAAATACAAAGGAAATAAAATGTTGGTTACTTACCAGCAAGAGTACTTGTATGCCTAAAAGCTCTGACCTGCGAGTCTGACAAACCAGTCAAAAGGGAGATTACTGTGTCCATCATATACTCATCATATATTATGCTATACTGACACTGTCGAATCAGGACTCCAATAAATTCACAAAAGTTTGAACGAAATTTTTTCCATTGAGGTCCAGGCATGGTAAGGGGATAATCACCACTGTCCTAGAAAAGATAAAAAGAACATACTAGATGTGACATATGATACCAGTTTGATCAGTTTTTCCCCCTCTTACCTGCAAAGGAACAAAACTTTTTCTCAAAGTAGATGTGGACAGAAATGGAAGGAGACCTACATAGTACACTGATGGCTTTATCTTTTTTACTTTGATCTTCTACAACTAAATAATTCTTAAAGTGCTCAAAATTATTTAGAACCACTGTTTAATTCATCATTCCAAGCCATTCATTCAAAATAATAGTTCCAGTTTTGCTGTACTTGGGTCCTAGTTGAGATAATGAGCAGAAAACAAAAAGAAAATTTTTAAGAGCAGATATTTGCCGTTGAATTCAGATCAAACTAATCATGATACCTGTACACAATGCACCTTCTAATTATTTTATTTATTATTTTTTTGCTGAGGAAGATTCACCCTGAGCTAACATTCGTTGCCAATCCTCCTCTTTTTTTGCTTGAATAAGATTAGCCTGAGCTAACATTTGTGCCAGTCTTCCTCTATTTGGTATGTAGGTCACCTGCCGCAGCATGGCTAACAAGTGGTATAAGTTGCACCTGGGGTTTGAACCTGCGAACCCGGCCCACCAAAGCAGACTGCATGGAATTTAACCACTAGGCCATGGGGCCAGACCCTCTTTTAATTATTTTAAATAGAATTTTTAAGAATTTAGAATTTCAATTTAGAATTCAGAAGAATTTAGAAGTATAAGAATTTCATTAAGAAGTCCAAAACTAACTTTTCACATCTGAAACCACAACCCCATTTTTCCCAATTTTTCCATGAACTTTCTATTAATTCCCATTTTATAGAGTGGGTTTATTAACTTTTCAAAGAAAAAATCTAACATGGGCTCTCGGTATCACTAGATTGTGTCATCTTGTTTAAAACATGAAACTGATAATTGAACCTACCTAGTTAGAGGTTTCCCTCTCTAGTCTAAAACACTTTAGTAGAGAAACGGAAATTAACACGGCAGAGAGTGAGAAATTTTGTGAACATGGTTATCTGAATATTCTCAATTTGCTGCTGTTTATCTTTTCTAGGCCCAAGTGTTGCTAGGAAAACTGGTTCTAAGTGAGGGCTTGAGCTCTGCTGGTGCCCAGGAAGGAGAACTAATTGATACTTAAAACAGCAGGAAATCCCAAGAGCAAGGAACAGAAAGCAGGGAATGGGAAGAGCTTGCCCTTCAGTTAACTATCTCAAAAGAAATTTAATGTTGGTGGTACCTGAGTTTTATGGGGTTTACTAAGCCCTAATAAGATGAAAAAGGAAGTGAAGGGTCTGGCTGAATTTTCCCAGCCCTAGAGACTGGAGGTACAGTGGAAAGACTGAAGAAGGTAGTAGAGGGAAGAGGTGTCTCAGCAGGCAACTGCTTCTATAACACAAAAGCCAACTAGGGTACAGCTGCTCTTGCTTATACCAGCTGTGAGAATCAGCCATTTAGTGTTCCACAACAACAAGACCTGGGCCCCAAGGAAACTGGAAAGAATATAACCCATCTATACAGGCCCAACAGCAAGCAAGAGATCTCCTTGGCAGAAAAATCAGCACATAGGAAAACTTAAATAAAAAAATGAGTACGCCTCAAAAAATTCAAATGTAGCACAAAAACACAACAAAAATCTTGGGGCTGGCCCAGTGGCGCACCAGTTAAGTTCATGTGCTCCACTTCAGCAGCAGGGGGTTCACCAGTTCAGATCCCAGGCAGGGACCTAACGCACTACTTATCAAGCCATACTGTGGCAGGCATTCCATACATAAAATAGAAGAATATGGGCACAGATATTAGCTCAGAGCCAATCTTTCTCAGCAGAAAGAGCAGGATTGGCAGTAAATGTTAGCTCAGGGCTAACCGTCCTCAAAAAAAAACAAAAAACAAACTTAAAAATCTCTAGGCAATTATGTTTTTTTAGACTTTTTAAAAAAATTGAAGTATAATTCACAATCATTATATTAGTTTCAGGTGTATAACATAATGATCTGATATTTATATATATTGAGAAATGATAACCACAATAAGTCTAGTTAAAATCTGTCATCATATATAGTTACAAAATATTTTGGCTTTCTTGTGATGAGAACTTTTAAGATCTACTCTCTCAGCTACTTTCAAATATGCAACATAGTATTTTTAACTATAGTCACCATGCTGTACATTACATCCCCAGGACTTATTAATTTTATAACTGTGTGTACCTTTTGATCCCCTTCACTCACTTCACCTACTCGTCACCTCTTGCCTCTGGCAACCATCAATCTGTTCTCTGTACCTACGAGTTCAGTGCTTTTTTTGTTTTGTTTTTGATTTCCCACATATGTGAGATTATACAGAATTTGTCTTTCTCTGTCCAACTTAGCATTAATACCCTCAAGGTCCGTCCATGTTGTCACAAATGGCAAGATTTCATTCTTTTTTATGGCTCCATAATATTCCATTGTGTATATATATCATACATACCCCCCCACACACACATTTCTTTATCTATTCATCAATCGATGGACACATAGGTTATTTCCATATCTTGGCTATTGTAAATAATGCTGCAATGAACATGGGGGTACAGATGTCTAAAATACTTTATTTCTTAATCATCAATTCAGTTGATGAACTGAAGAAAAGAATGGTCACTGACAGGAAATACCTTAGTAGCCTAGAAAATAATGTGCAAGAGATATCTGGAAAAAAAACATGTAATTTGCCAGATGGAGCTTCTGGAAAAGCCTTTTAAAATGGACAGACTAGGATAATTTGACCTCTTCAGTCCTTTGTCCCTTTCTCTTTCACTGATTTGGAGCTCATATGTGGTGCTGGATGTTCAAGAGCCATTTTGCAACCATGAAGGAACAAGTAAGAAGATAAGGGGTAGAGAGAATGGTGGAAAATGTGTAGCTCTTGGCTCTGTTGGGGTGCAGTACCAACCATGCACTATCTATTCCCAGATTTATTTTGCATGAAACAAACCGTGAATTCAGCCCACTGTTGGTCAGATTTTCTGTAACTCACAGACAAATGCATTCCTACTGTTATAGTAGAATTAAGAAGAGTGGGGAAAGACGAATTATTTAGTAAGTGATTTTGGTACAACTGGCTGTTAATTAGAAAAAAATTAGTATGTATTGCATCTTACATCAAAATAAATTGCTAGTTGACAAATAAAAATGGCAAGCAATTGGATATACTGGAGCATATGAGGAAGCCATTTGGTATAAACCTAATTCGGCCTGACTTTCTTTTTCCAAAACGGCCTAACTGTGGCCATTGAGCACGCATTGCTTGTCTGCTTAGACATTTCCTATGGCCAGAACAAAGGCCCTTGAGATAAAGGCGCAACTTCCCCCCACATTAGCAATTTTTCTTAGGCTAGGAACTGATTGCTGCACTCAACTCTGACCACCCAGCTCACCTGTGACCACTCAGCTGGAGACAACAGACTGCCACCCTGCTGTGTTCACTGAGACAGAAGACCTACCTGCTGTTTCATCAATCGCTGTGCCGACAGAGCAGTCTCCCACTATTGTAAAAGGGACATTTCAATCCTATGTGAAACATCCTCTCTGGGGTATATAACCAGTCTGTGCACCCCACTTCTTTGGTGCCCTTTCTTCCTTCGGGAAGAAAGGCCCCGGGTTATAATCCTCAGATTTAAGCTCAGAATAAACTCACCCAAATTTTCATTTACAGATTGGTTATGGATTATTTTCGTCGACACAGTGAATCAAAACACTTAGAAAAATTCAACCAAAAAAGAAATAGAAAACATGGGAGAATATTCTCACAGTGGGAAAGTCTTTTTCTAAATACAATACACAAGCCAAAAGTCATAAAAAAGACCAACAAATTCAATCATATAAAAGTAATTTTTGTATTAAAAAAACCAACACAAAAAGCAAAGTCAAAAGAGTAATAACTGATGAGGACTTTTAGGCTGCTTAATTTTAAAACGGTTTGTGATGAGGATTGTTAGGCTGGTTACTTTTAAAACCGCAGATGAGAAGCAGGCTCCGAGGACTGGAATTTTGCTTGCCCTTTTGAGACATTTGCGTTTGTGAAGGAAGGGGGGATGACCTTGTAGGGACCTGAAATTGGTCACCCCAGGATATGTCTCTCTGGCATCAGGATTGTTTTGGGCTGATTGCTTTCGATAAACTGGGACAGGGAAGGAGGCTCTGGGGAATGGAACTTGCCCTTGTTGGGACACATTTACATTTGTAAGGTAAATCTCCATCTGTAAAAGGTGCCTCCCTCTCTGTACCAGGAAGAAGAGGAGAGATGACCTTGTCCCTAGAAGCTCTTAATGGGGAAGGCAAGAACTTAAGTTGGTTGCTGTCTGGCAATCTCACGTAACTGGTTTAGGGTGGTGGCGTCTAACCTTTCTAACCTTTACTTGATCCGATTTGATTCTTGTCTAAAAGTCATGGGATCACCCAATGACCAGACCCCACCTGCACTGATACCATTTTAACTATTTTTCATGTTCTTTCCTTTGTCTTGTAAAGAGATGAATCATATACCTATGCCTTAAATTTAGCCCTAACCCTCAACTCGGGGCAGCAGCAGGAGCTCTGACTGCCCGTGGGTCCTGTCCCCACGCACCAGCTCTGCCTGCCCCTGGGTCCTGTCCCCATGCCAGCGGGGGCAGCAGCAGCTGCTCTGCCTGCCCATGGGCCCTGTCCCCATGCCAGCAGGGGGAGCAGAAGCGGTAGCAGCAGAAGCTCTGACTGCCCATGGGTCCTGTCCCCATGCTACACTATTCTCTAAATAAAAGAGCACTACTGCCAGATCTTAAGAGTCTAAGAAATCTTTCTTTCGACTCCTCGGCTCACCAACCCCGCATCAATAACAAGGTTTAGCTTCCACTTAGGATGCAGAATGCTACAATGAGAATAAGCTCAATCAACAAAAAAATCCTAACTTTTCTTGAGTCCAACTTGAGCTGAAGTAACCTGAATTCCATAGAATAAGCTATCCAAGAAGAGATGAAACAC